CATATGAAAAGCATGCAGTAGCAACAGTGTGTTTAATTTCTCTTCCCTGCGACTTGGTGACCCGGTTGAAGTGGAGATCAGTGTCTCGCACACTCAAGAAAGGTTGTATAATAAAACCTTGCAAATTGCAAGCAGGAAAATTTTGCGTTTACTCTCACATGCAAGATAGCATTATAAACTATACGATTTGACGACAGTGTTTGTGAACATGTGTGTGTGTTTGTAAAGGTAGAGAGGGTGTATGTGGAGGGGGAGACACAGTGTTTTATGTTCCCGCTCACTAACCATCACTCTGCTCCTAATTGATAACCACTGGCATTTGATCAGGCAGTCTTCAAACAAGGAATCTATCTTTGTATTTTGTATAAGAAGACCATCTGTTGTTGCAGAGCTCTACATTCATTACATTTATTTTCTCAACCCAGGAATAAGATTTTAATTGTCCATTGCTACAGGAGGATTTTCCCTACCATCCCTTCATGGGATTTTTTTTTCTTCTTCTTTTTTGCAGGGAGGTTCGGGGGTTGTTGTGGGACAGGCTGGTGTTTGTTTGTTTACTGGTACTTGTTGATGTGACCCAGACAATAGCAAAAAGTAAACTGACAAGTAAAATGTGAAAAAATATATATAAATAATTTTATATATCAGTGCATTACATTAAACAAAGAGTATATTATATTTTTAATGGTCTTGCAGAAAGTTATGTGAAGCAAGTAAAACAAAATTAGTGTGTAATTAGGAAATAAAAATGAGCGTATTTGGACACATTTCTTGCAGGTTGTTATTGGACATTTTGAGCAGTGAATCGTTTGGCATTTGGTGTTCTGTGAGGAGCGACGGTGGGCATGTGTTAACTACACACAGGACACTCGAGCGAAAACCAGACGCCCACCGAATCCTTCAATCTGTCATTTCCTCTCGCAGCTCCCGAGCAAGATAAAAATAAAGCGAGCACAAAACACTTCTCTCTTATTACTCTTTCAAAATAATGCTCTTCTCACTTTAGTTCACTTCTTGGTAGCCTTTACTTGGAAACATGTTGCAGTGAGCATATTGTTTAGAAAATAAGTAGGCCTAATTAATTTTTTATTCGCCATGGGTGTTCAGCGAATGATCTATGATCAGTATCAACATTTAAGAAACAATTTTAATTTTTAAAGTTGTATTAGGAATCTAGCTTGCCTATAAATAATATATATGTTTCCTGAACATTTTTTTTTTTAATTATAAAATGAAGTTTTATAATAAAACACCAACCAAAAAGTATAACAATTAAAATACAGCGATGAAATGCTTTCAGTAATGAAAACATTTCAGTTTAGTTTTACAGTACGAAAATTGATTTGGCTGTATAAATCTTTCTTTCTTTCTTTCTTTCTTTCTGTCTTTCTTTCCCTTTGAGATGTTCATTAAAATTATGCTTGAATAAACCAAATCAATGTTTTTGATGTATATTAATAAATTTTTTTTCACTATGGCAGGTGTAACAGCTGTTGGCCATTATATGAACCGAGGAGAGAGAAGATAAAAAGCATACCTGGTGTTTTTTTCTGTAGAAGTGAGACTTCATTTACCCCGTCAGACCTGTGAGTGAGAAGAAAACTGCTGGTTTATTTGGGTTCGGGTGCTTAAATAGAGGCTTTCTGACATGTCTGATCGCATGATTCTTTGGGGTTTTCGTGAGACAATGATCGGTGCTGCTTGATACAAGCATTTTGCATTAACAGTTAACTATGCATGAGTGTGAAACCCTTGTGATTTCTGAGACCACTATGAATAAAGGATACACGCCTTGCAAAATTCAGCTTAATAGAGTCACCAAAATGAAGTGGAGCATTTTCGTAGTGAACTATGACTCCAGAGACAGGAGGTGTACAACTTAAGATGAGTTTCGACATGATGTGTACAGGACGGAGAGACGGCGTATAGACGTACGAACATGGTTCTCAGAATTAGACAGCACATCCTGTAAAGAATTTCAGATATACAATAGTTTTACTTAAACTGACTTGACCCAGCAAGATTTCAGCCAGTTAACAGATTTTCATATCAATTGCCCAGCAGCAATAGTGAAAACCAATTATGTTTTTGAAGTGAACACAATCCATTAGTTTTCCTCTTCCTTAAATACTGTAGAAATGAGTTGCATAAGTGGAAAATACATAAATATATGCTATAGATATTACTACAGATTATGGCTTTCTCTGTCCAATCAGATGTGTTTTAAGTGTGCTGTTTTTATAAACTGAAGAAATGCCTTTAACCCAAAAGTAAGTGACAATATTTGAATATACAGAAATTAAGTGAGTGATTAAAACCATACTACTAATTTTAAGTCAATAAAGTGTTTTATTTATTATGAAATTGCTAAAAGAGTATTTCTTTTTCATAAAATGTGTGAAATAAACTAAGATCGTTTTTAAATTGTGAATGTGTTATTTCTATTCTTCCATGTGTACATTAACAAAGTGATTACAATGTTTAAAAAAAATACAGTGGTGACTTGCTATTGATATTTACTACACTCAAATGATCTTTGCAAAAAAGAAAACTTTGAAAGTCAAAATTATCATAGCGCTTTATTTAGATGAGAAGTATTTTAGAGTCAGTTCTCAAGGAAAACAATCAAATTTATTTTAAAGCAAATCCACACGTGATTAATTATTTAATGCAACTGGGATTGCAATGCCATCAAATCGCAGAAAACAAAGCTTTACCCCGTGCTCAAAGATTTTTGTTTGAGAGCAGAGAGTGGAGAAAGAGATGTTTAATGCTAAACACAGAGGGAGTGAGGGAGGGAGAGAGAGATATCTCAAACTGCTTATGCAAAAATAATTGGTAACCTCCATGTACTGTTCAGCACTATTATTCAAATCTCGCCTTTGTTGGCCCTGTTTACAGGATGTTAACTGGTGCATTTTCACCCCCAGAGTGGACCCGTTTTTCTCTCACACACAGTCTATTCTCACAGCTGTTTGATTTCCAACTGCCAAACGTAGTTTATTTCTGCCTTTGTTTTTGTTTTGTCTTTCTGAGTTGCGCCTAGTTCTCAAAGTTATCTTCAAACTAAACATGTTCTCTTACAACTAGGGCTGTCAGTCGATTAAAACTTTTAATGGAATTAATTACATTATATGACAATTAATTAATCCAATTAATCACAATTAATTGCATGTATCAATATTTGGAGGCAACAAAACAAAGATCTTTTAAGGATCAATCAATGTGGCAGACAAATAAATCATTGAGTATATGTTATAAAAAGTGGCTTAGAAGCTAATATTGTTTTTGTTTACATAGACTGTTTTTCCATTGTTGATAACTTTGGTCGTTGTGTTGCTGTTTTGACTTGGTTGGTTTTTTTTTCAGCGTCTTACGCAATTAGCGCACATTTTTTAAGACAACTTAGTTGTTCACTCTAAAAAATGTCAAGACCCCTGCATTCTGTTGAGCGCCATCTAGCTGTTAATGAATGTAAAAAGACATCCTGTTTAAACGACTTTGCTCATTCTGTGTTCATCCTGTTCTTGGTAAGTGTGGTTTGGTGAGATGTGTTGGCTGTAGTTGCCAGAACTTGCAAAACAAAAAAACACGAAGGTGACACATTAAGCTTGAATTGCTTCAATACTAGAAAAACATGTTTAAAGAAGGAATTTATGTACAGGTCACGGGGCATGAATACATGTGTTAATTATTTGATCTTTTTTTTTAATAATTAATCACACTTATTTAAGTATTTAATATGCTTTAATTTTTGTTTTCACCCTTGAACCACTTTGAGCTGCATTTTGTATATGAAAGGTGTTTTAGAAATAAATGCTTTATTATTAAATTAACACATTCAATTAACAGCCCTACTTGCAACTAGAAACTATAAAAAATAAAAACACAAGCTACTCATAGAAAATAAATATACCTTTAGAATAGGGTTTCAAATTACTGTTGTGAAATTAATATTAACTCTCCACTTTTAAAATTCAAGAAATTCAAAATATCCTACTTTACTCCAAATCGTATTGTATAAAAAAGCACAGGTGACCTATTTATGAATGTTTATGTACTTTTGCCTCTCTGCATGTTGCCGGGATGTGTACAGTATCTGTGTCACTGCCAAGCACGAGAACAAGATAAAAATCGCTGTCAGTCGGTAAGCAGGTTGTGAAAAAAAAACACACAAAAAAAAGCTATAAATACGGATGTGGTGTAGCAGGTAAAGTTTGGCGGCGTTCTCACCCACTCTTCCTCAGCTGGAAGCAGCAGAGTGAGAAGAAGGGGGTGGCAGCGGGAAGTTCCTGCCATCCAGCGCTCCGAACCTGCGGGTTTGTGCCGGGCTGAGCACAGGTGGGCGCACATCCACGCTCATGCGGTGTCGGAGATGCGTTTGGAGGAGGAGGAGGAGGAGGAGGGTGAGCCAGCCCAGGCAGCCTGGGCCGCTCAGGCAGGAAACAGCAGAGGAAGCCACAGGTCAGGCAGCAGAGTTTGAACACCTTGTGTGCACATAAGCAAACACCCAAACGCACACTTCTCAGGGAAACGGAGCCTTAGAAGTCACATCAGCCTGTCTGACAACAGTGTCCCAATTAGGATGCCCCATAAACAAGGGGAAGTGGTGCCTCTCTTGGGACCAGTCTCACCCCCACTTCCATCCCTCTCCCATCTCCACTAAAACACACCATAGATTGCAGGATGCTACTGTATATCAAGCGCTCTAAAGTGCCAAATCCATTTATGATAGCACAAGGTGTCGCTTAGGAAAGTGCACTTCCCCCAAGAATGTGCGCTGCTTGGAGTGGAGTGGAAAACTTTGCTTTGTGCATCTGAGAGATTCCTGCTCCAGCTATAACCCCGCCAATTATTGTTGCCTTCTGCATGAACTTTTAAGCCTGGAGAAAAGGTAAAAGTCAACACTGAAACTTTGATTATGAAAATGGCGCAAACTTGAATGGCGACTCTGAGATACTTGTACATTAGCTCTTTAGACAAACCTTTAGACAAAATATTATATATATATATATATATATATACGTGCGTGTGTGTGTGTGGGTTTGCATATTTCTTCTCTGGGATAGAAGGCTTCTATGATAAAGAAGAATATGGAGCCCATACTCGAGGAGAAAAAAAACATCTCAATTTAATTCAGAAGCCCAAACTGAGCAGAAATATTACATTTGGTGCTGTTGCTGATATTTATATGGCTAAAAATATTAAATTTTGATAGCTTGTAATGTAAACCAATTAGATCTTTATAACAGTATAACAGACTACTTGCATAAAATGCTATGAATATCAGTTGTCACTCTATATCTCCTTATAGTATGTCTGAAGATGATATTTAAATGCTAGTTTTATGATCAAACCTCTGTAGCTTTTATTGTGGGGCAAAATATATAATGCAATGCAGCACAGTGATGATTGAGAGACGTACAAATAAACGTTCCTCAAAAGACTAATGTATCAGATTTGATACTCAGATTTTAACATGTTTTTTTCTTAAGTCAGAAGGAATGTACAAGATTGTGTACATGTTTTTCAGCAGTTTTGATCATGTTGATAATTTAGAGGCCTTAGAGATTTGCATATCAAATATGATACAGTCGTTTTTGTAGGTTTAAAGAAATTGACTCATTATTTTGTAACGAACCCATATGATTTTTTTCTTCTGTGGAAAACAAAAGAAGATGTTTAGCAGAACATCCAACCTGCTCTTGGCTATGCAATGAAGGCAAATAGGTAAAAAATAAAATTAAAAAAATTCATAGAACTTGACAAGTCATACACTACTTTAATGTTGCTTTTTGTCATTTTAAGTTTGCTAAACTTCTTTGATTTTTCACAGACGAAAAAGGTGGTTTGCATCAACTATAAATGACGATGAGAATATGATGACAATTTTTTTTGTAGATAAAATGACACTTCACATATGGAAATAAATACTCTTGGACAGATCCTTTGCACTCATTTGTACTTTTTCTCTCTTTTTTTTCGGCCTTCCCTGTCTCCTTTGGCAAAAGGCTACATCTGTGTGCTTAACGCATTTCTAACGAGCTGCCGTTGTTTTTCTGGAATGCACTGGAGATCAGTCATCGTGCCACTGTGAGTAAGATCACATTCACATGAGTAAACCATGCATCACTCTGACGCGCCAGGCACCTTCTTTTGCAAAATGAAGAAACGCCTTGTTATAATTCACAAAGAAAGATTAACATACTTCTGCTGATGTCATAAAAGTGTGCCATGTTTGGTTGCTTCTGTGAAGAAGCAATACAAAGATCAAATTTACCAACAGCATCAATGCAGTTCCATTCAGAAATGTGTGCCAAAGTAAGACTGATTGCACTGTCTATGAAATATTTTTGTGTAAGCAAAAGAGCAACGATCATGTATGAACACGGATAAACAAGGGGGAGGAAAAAAGATATGAGATACAAAATGTCCATACCACATAATAATACGAAATACTAAAACTCATGGCCACAGAAAAATCGAGTCTATCAAATGCATCAACCTAGCGTGAACTGTAAGCTTTTGTGCAGTCTGATAATATGATATGATGGAGGTCTGTGCCGAATGAAGAGATTTTTTCTTCTGTTTTAAGGGCTTGGAAATGCTGTTCAGTCAGTCTTTTTAGAATGCAGAAAAAATATGAGCTCCTCTGTTAAGTCTCCAGTGAAGTAACCAAGAGTAAGAAAATGAAAACAAGACTCTGATCTGTGATCACACTGTAAGTGTGAATTTTAAATTAATCTCAATTTAACAAGCCTCAGCGCATTATGTGAGAATATATAATACAGAGGGGCTAACTGAATATTTTCTCAAGCATCAATATGCTACTATTTCACTTTTTTATTAATTTAAGATTTATAATAGCAGAGATTTAACATATTAAATAAAGGCTATAATGGCTCACTCTTTGATGATGTTCAATTTTTTTTGTTTTTTTTTGTAGACCAACTACAAGACACATACAGTGAGTCAGTGGGAAAAAAAGGTGTTTAACATTCATAAAATGTCAAGGAGATAAAACTAAATATTATATGAGCTTTCTTTATTTCTTCTTTTTTTTTTTTTACCACCATGATTTGTGTGATTTTTTAAAATTCGGAAAAAATCATTAACATTTTAAATGAAATTAACATTATTTTAATTTAAAAAATAATAATAATTAAAAAAACACACAAAAAACAAATACTCATGATTGCATATTTCTCCTTAATTATGCAAAATATACCTTATAATTGCCTGTTTTGACAACAAATGATCAGTGAAAAGAGGTGTTTAACATTCATAAAATGTTGATAGTCAAGGAGCTAAAACTAAAAATTATATTAGCTCTTTTTTTTTTTTTTAATTTTGCAACCATTACCATCATGATTTGTGTTTTTTTATTAAAAAAATTATTAAATAAAATTCTAAATGATATTGACCATTTTTTAAATTAAGAAATTGCGTAATGAATGAATGGATAAATAAATAAATAAATAAATAAATAGGGCTTCAAGTTTAGCCTAAATTAAATGCATGGTTAATTTAATACCAAAAAATATTCCAGTTTTGACTAATTTAGTTTTTTGGACTGATTAAATCTTCAGTCTATCTGACTACCAAGGCCGTCACCTCATCCTGCCTAAATTTGCATAAACATACAGTATGATTTCCCAGTGTTCATAACATTTACCAAACAATCTCCAGAAAGAAAAAAAATGCTGTTCTCATTAAAATTCAAAACTCATACAGTACCAAATATACACAAATGAGGCCAGCGACCTTTAAAATGAGCTATTGATATGCTCAGTTTGCACCACTGGAACCTGGCTCTCCACACAGTCCAAACTGACACACCCCTAATTTGATTGGCATATTCTATTTATTATCATGCAACCAGATCTCCGCTGTGATTTGTTTTCAAGGCACCTAATAAACACCCGGCCTGGCCAGTGTTACAGTGATGTCACTGGCACAAGTTGAATATACACAAAGTGGTTTGCCATGTTTAAATGAATGAAGTTTCAAGCTGGATTTTCAATTTTGAACCTTCCCTCTTTCCTTTCAGATAATTTGGTTGATCCAAGTGGCAAATGCAGGGCGGCATAATGCAACATGCTTCTTAAGTGCCAGTAGGTTAGGCACTAAGGGGAGGCCCAGATCTTTCCCGTTAACGCCACTCAAACAGACTCTTCCTCTCTACTGCGCTGCCTGGGGATCATTAAAGACATTTATGGCTCTGTAGAAGTCTCCAATTCGCTTTGATTCAAACTGATCTGGGTCTGGAGTTTATCTGTCAGTATATGATAAATGCTGAAATAAAAACAAATTATTGAGCGGCACGAGAAAGAGATGCTCTGGGGTCAGAGATGTCGGCGCCAAGATCTCCCCTCCCACGTTATAGCATATAATTAAGACACAAAGTTGCGTTAAGCAAGTTATCATTGACTTATACAGTTAAATGCATACTTAAAGAGACAAATACCCCTTTTTAAAGCTATACGTATGACACGGCGAACGGTTAGAGTCTTCAGTCTCATCAGCATGCCCTTGGTGTGTATTTTAATCTGAGCGACTGGAATTATTGCCTGTTACGGCTGTGTATCCTTTAGGAAAAGTGGAGGAACTATACTCGATATCAACAACATTAGCAGGAGAGCTGTTCTCACTGCATTTTAATCAACTTTGCCGGATTGAATTTCAGAAATGTAATTCTGCCCTCCACTGGCACAAAAAAGGTGCACACAAAAAGCAAGGCATTTCCTGTTTGACTGATACCAGGTAGAAATAGTGTGTGTGTGTGTGTGTGAGGTACATAAACACATCCAGTTTGCCAATTAAAGCATCACTTAGCGTTTTTTTTTTCTTTGCATATTACTGGTTAAAGTGAAGAAACATGATTGAAATAGAATAAAACATGCTTTATCTTTGCAAAAATTATGATTTCCTACAGTGTGTATTTAAACACATTTGATCTTTTTTTTTTTTTTAAGTGAACAACTCTCTCACTACATTTTGTTTTAATTTTCTTCTTTTCACTTTCAACATGCATGTGTTATTATCTAGCTCTGGTTCAACATGAAACAAAAGCCTGATGCCTTGCTGAGAGGTGACACAGTCTGTCCCAGGAGGCATCAGCAGTGCCCATGTCACCTGGGGTGTTGCCAGGAGCGACGGGACTGGTGCTCCGAGAGCAAGGAGGGGGGCAATCTAGCACAAACAATCACACCGACTTCCACCCCCTCTCCTGATGCTCTCTGAGCACCTTCAAATGCCTGCTCCTCCTTGAAGAGCATCTCTGCTCCAGGTGCTAAAAAGCCACATGTTAATCCAGGCCTGTCTGATAAGCAAATGTCTCTATGAGCCAAAGCATGAATAATAATGACTGTCTATAGAGACATATCAACTACAGTAAAGCCTGCAGTGCTGCTGGGGAAAAGGAAAAAGCTATAGATTAACTAACAGAAACAAACTCGACAGAAATTAACTATGCAAAGTGACATCACTTAGATTAAACTTATGAGTTTTATGGAAACAAAACACATCTCAGATTCATTCTACCAAATGTATAATTTTACTTCTCCTACTGTGAAGGAAGGGGAAAGTGTTTACTGGGACTCCTGAGGAAAGAAGGGGGGGGGGATCAGTTGGTGTGTATGCCAAAAATATTTTGGTAATTACATGTAGGAGCAGCTTTTCTGACCATCGTGCATTTCTAACAAAGACACCTGCATTTCCAGCTGAAAGGGCCAATCATAAAGCATTTGTCATTCTGATTCAGATGCTCTTACTGAGGGAGTATCTCCGTTATAGCCAAATCCACAAAAACACATTTGACGGAGTCTCAAGTCTCACACATGTAACAGAATTGTGGCTAAAATCTGAACACAGCTCATTTCAAGAGTGTTTTAATGTGTTTCTGAAGCCCTACTAGGAAGTGCTCATTAATTTGGCCAATACACTCCGTGTCACAGTTCTTGTCATGCTTAGAAAGAAAGGGAGACAAAAAATTAGGACATTATGAGAGGCCTAATTTACTTTCTGACTGAAAAAGTCCCATAAAGGGCAGAACACTCGACACTGGAGAAAGTTTTTAACAGCTCTCATCAGAGACACTGTCCATATCTTGAGCTTATCTAACATGACTCTACACCTCAGTTTTGCTCTCGAGCTCACTAACAATGCACTTCTGACATGTGTGACCATTTTGTGCATTTATAAACATGGGCTACTAAAGACATGGTGACAATACATTGTTTGTAGAGGGCCACAGTAAAAATGCTTATACTTATTTCATTTACGGTGTCTAAACTCTATAAAAAATTTGAATAAGATTGACTTAATAACATTGACTTGCATTGTGGGTTTTTTCCATACATGGAAGTCAATGGGGACCAGCAACCGTAGGTGAACTATCCCTTTAAGAGAGGCATTCTTCAGTAGCGAGACAGCAAGTAGTTATTTTCCAAATAGCGTAGTAGTAGCACAACCAAATGCTAAATCGCTGTTTTTAACGTCTGAGCTGAAGGACTAATTAAACGTACTCACCTAAACGAACCCCCCTCTGTCTTTTTCACACATGTAGCGTCGTAAAGTCAGATTTATTCCAGCGAATCAGTCCAAAATGGTTCCGTCACCTGTGTAGCGCTGGAAGGTCCGACTCGTTCTAACGAATCGGTTCGTCCAAAATGGTTCTATCACAGCGCTAGAATCTGATTCATTCTAGTGAATTGGTTCGTTCTGAATAGTTCGCTAAGTAGCACTGAAAAAGTAATTCTACAAAATCAGTTGGTTTGGACAGTTTGTGTTAAATGAACAGATTCACAAGAATGATTCGACTCATTGTAGCTACTATTTCGACTCCGTTATGAAAAAAAGGGTGTTTAATTTTGTTGTGTTTAGTTTAAATTTATATTTACTATAAATTTATGTTCGAATTTGATACTGTCACCATAAATAAGACTGATCATTTTTTAAACCCCAGACAATTACGTCCATGGTTAAATTATACATTATATCACTGGATTGTTAGTTTTGTTTTATTTATTAAATATTATTAAATATTTATTATTTATTTATTTATATTTACTTTTTAAACTTTTTCTTTCCAATCTCCACATCCATGTCACGGCCCACAAAGGCCACAATCTGCCAGCAAGAGCTTTAAATGTAGCACTATGCTTTTCTTGCAGGGTCAAGATGAATAGACAAACATCTACCACAGAAGCAGAAAAAGACTTACTGCAAATCCATGCAAATTGGGAAAGCAGCAAAGAGGGGGAGTTTCTGCCAGGCAAGCACTCTTAGCTTTCCTTTTAGACCACCATCTTTTGTTTTCTGAAGTTACACATATAGGAAAGTTGCAATCAGAAGCCAGGAAGGAGAGAAAAGGGGAAAAAAGAACTATAAGCATTTCAAGCTATTGCTGAAACAATCCAATTACAATGCCTATCAAACTTAGCTTCACAGGTTATAGCTTCTAATTGCCTGACAAAAATTGACACTTCAGTCGCAACACTGTAATATAATAGAGGGCCAAATTAAATTTGATCGAGGGGCAGAAAACGACGCTATCATTCAGCCGTGCGGAAAAGAGATCAACTTGCATGATATAATGGATCAAAAATGAAAATTATTCATTAATCGTGTTGGGTTTTCCAATAATGGAAATGACACAGTTCAGACGCTGCCGTAAAAACACTATTAATTAAAGGGATGATAGATCTAACAAGGCATGGAACCGAGAGAAGTCTTCCTCCACTCCTCTCCGAGGTGAAGGATTGTGGGAATGGACTGACTGACAGGCCACTTCTCAGCATGACGAGTGTAATGTGTGTGTGTGTGTGTGTGTGTGTGAATAGTGGCATGTGGACTTCCGAATGATGAGGCAAAATGATGAGAGCCTGAGCTTTTTAAATTCATGTTCCAGTTCTGTTTGATGTTTTATATATAAATAAATAAATAAATATATATATATATATATATGTGTGTGTGTGTGTGTGTGTGTGTGTGTGTGTAGATATACATGCATACATATGTATGTATGTGTGTATGTATATAAACACACACACACACACACACATACACATACACACATTAAAACTAAAAAAAATAAAAACTTTACATTACATACAATATTCAATATTATATATATATATATATATATACATTTAATTAACTGTATATTAGTTACTCAGAAATTATTACATTTACTACTATTTATACTATTTATTACAACAATAACATATAAAAACAATATAATATTAATAATATATACTGTATAATATGAAATTAACATCTACATTTATTGAAACGCCACTGCCTCTTTTACCTATTCACAGAAAACACCCCTGGTGTGTATGTGTGTGTGTGTGGGGGGGATGCCCAATATTCAGCAGCAGATGAGATGTGTGCATGTGTCTGTAAGAAAGAGGCAGATGAAGAGAGGAAGATAAGAGAAAAAGATGACAGCACTCAAAGGCTAAAGGCAGTGCTTTCTCTCATCTCCTGACCACCGGCTGACCCTGAGACTGAGACTGAGAGCCGAGAGCCGATGGAGTGACCCGGCTCCCCGTGACCCTGCCGAGCTGAGTGTGAGGCTCCCTAGCCAAACCCACTGGAGCTCCAGCCTCAGTGATCTCCAGCCCTGTAATTGGGTCAAAGCTCTGCATTGCCTTATTGATGTGCAAATGCTATCTGTCGAGGCATGTCACTCTCAGCCATATTAGAGTACACCTCGAGGATGACTGCAGGAGATCAAGGACACCAATTCACCATATCATATCAAACCCCAAACATGAGAGGGGTGCCGTTCATTAAAATTTAGGCCATCAAGAAATATCCAATTCAAAAGAAATGTCTAATTTGAAGTGGTCCTTGATAGGACACGATCATATCTTAACGTATTTAACAACCAGTTTTGACATGAGTTATGCCACCCTAAAAAAGGATGTTCTCACAAATTATGATAATTAAAATGATGGGAAGTATGAACGTGTCAGTTATCCAGGAGGAAGTACAGTCAGTCAGAAATTCAAAAGATGTAATTTGTCATAAGTATTTTTTAGAGTTTCTAAATACATCAATATACATCATAAAGTTATGGAGGACATGCAATATATGTACATATCAGTGGTTATTTCTCTGAAGAGAAAAAGGAAACAGTATATAATAAATGAGAAAATAATCAATAGTACAAAAATAAAGCAAAACAAAAACTAAATCATGAAATATGAGATCAATTTGCCACTTTCAGATGTCCACAGCTGGTCTGAAAATTAGCCTGAATGGGTCAAACTAGTGTAAATCGATGGACTGATTACAAAATAAACAGCATTAATTAAAAATGAAATAAAAATATTTTTAAATAAAAATATTGCATTATTGTTATGAATTTTTTTTAATTGTACAAAATATATATTATATAAATGGTTAAATTCTTCAATATAATTTTAAAAAGATTTATAAATATTTTGAAATGTATAAATATTACAAATATATAAATAGAAAACTAAAAAAATGTATATAACTTTATATAACTTCAATTTTGGTAAAAACAAACAAACAAAAAAAACACGAAGAGGGGACTTTGCCTCATCATTTCAAAAGTCCATCACATGCTACTCAAATCTATGTAGGATTTAAAAAACAGCAGCAGATAGTCATGAGAACTTCATTGGAAATTTTGCAGTGGATTTAATGTGGCTTTACGGGAAGCATTAAGTTCATTACATTTCTTTTATTGCCTTGACGTATCTAGTAGACTGTTAATGTGTTCCTCTCGGTTGATTGTACATGTGCAAGCAGCGTCCCGAGGATCAGAACATCAAATCACTTGGATTGTCGTGCTGTGAAAGAATTTAAAAGTACTGGGGTCCCAGTCTTATAATTGGGTATCGATGGCCAACGATTCTCTCAATTTCATAATTTTTCCACTTGGACAATCTGGTGGAACTCTAAGACAACCTAATTATAACCCCTGCTGAGGAGGCCGGCCCTGAGCAAGGTTTCATAACTGTCTCAACTTTCTCATCTTCTGCAAACTTTCACAAGGGCATGACACTGATACTAATTACACCAAGCCAGTCTGACAGTGCTGAAGTGAAGAGTTAATCACGGTATTAACATTACCACTAATTATTTAATGCTATTTTTTTTCTCCAAATGTAACGTGACGACTTGTTCAGCAGTATGAATACAGGTTTTCAGGTTTTCTGCACGGAGGCTGTTTGTTGTTGTTTAAAATATTAGCTTATCATTCTGTAAGATACTCTTTTGAAAAAGCAGCTAAAATACGAAAAAAGCAGACCTAAAATGCCTTTTTTTTTTTACAAACAACCTGGTTCACTTGAATGAATTTGAATTTCCAATCCAACATAAGAGAACAGTTATCTTTCCTTGCTTGGCTGTAATACGCAAACAATGTGTTGTGAAATGTGCACTTGTTGGAAAAAATTGCTTGTTACTGGAAAAGCTACATTATTTTGAAAGCAAAAGGATGACAGTTACGGTTCTGAAAATCTAGTTTAGTTAGAAACATTTCTACTTACTCTCCAGCACTGACTGAATCAACTTTCCTATCACCTAATCAGATCTTAGGGTTTGGCTGGTTGGCATGGCTCCATTAGTGCCTGCTAGCAGTGTTGTTGTTGTTAACTAAAATTAAAATTGTTACAAATAATTTTATTAACATGAAATGCAGTTTAAATTAAATAAAATATAAATATTTGATGAAAACCTAAAACAAAAATTAGAAATGTTGGCTTAGCAACTAACTGAAATAAGCTTGGGTATGCATTTGTTCAAAAACCTTTAGAGTCAGAGTACCAAAACAAACTTGTAGCCAATCAGCAGTAAGGGGCGTGTCTACTCATGATGCAGAGGAGAGAGAGCTCAGTGCACAGAACGGACATTAACCGAGCCGAGCGACGACAGAAAGATTGAGATGGCGGATAAAAAACAAAAGAGGAAAACGTCTGCGGAACAAAAGAAGGCTTACGATAAGGCAAGAAGTAGGACCCGTGTAAA